CAAAATAGACTCAAAGGATTTGAATTTACTTTTCTGGGGACTAAACACCTATTAGGAGTGCTGGTGGCATAATGCCTGAGGCATTTGACTGCTAACCAGAAGGCTAGTGATTCAAACCCACCAGCCACTCCTCGGAAAGAAGATTGGGCAATCTACTTCTGTAGTGATACTAACTTGGAAACCCAAGGAGGGGTCCCTATGAGTCGGATCTGACTAGATGGCAGTGAGTTTGAAACACCTATTAGGCACCCTGGTGATACAAATGGTTAAGCCCTTGGCTGCTAACTGAAAATTTGGCAGTTTAAACCCACCCAGTGGCTCTGAGGGGAAAGATCTGTAGTCTGCTTCTGTAAACATTACAGCATTTCTGTAAAGATTAAGTATACCCTCCCCAACTTGAAAATGTCAGGAAAACCATAACTATGTGAGCCCCTTAGCAAATGGGTCAATACAGCTAATAACTGAGTTTTCTACATAAGTGAAGGATAAATAAGCAAATGCTTTTGTTGTTAGGTGCTGTTGAGTCAGCTCTGACTTGTCGTGACCCTACACTCCTCGGAAGGAAGATGGGGCAATCTTCTTCCGTAGTGATACTGCCTCAGAAACCCAAGGAGGGGTTGCTATGAGTCACATCTGACTCAATGGCAAATAACAATACAACAACATGTACAACAGAACAAAACACTGCCTGACCTTGAGCAATCCTCACACACTTTGCTGTACTTGAGCCCAATGTTGCAACCACCGTGTCGATCCATCTTGCTGAGTGTCTTCCCCTTTTTTGCTGACCCTCTACTTTACTAAGAATGATATCCTTCTCCAGGGACTGGTGCCTTCTGACAATATGATCAAAGTAGATGAGACAAAGTCTGGCCATTCTTGTTTCTAAGGAGCATTCTGTTTACACTTCTTCTAGAACAAATGTGTTCATTCTTCTGGCAGTCCATGGTATTTTCAGTATTCTTCGCCAATACCATAATTCAAAGGCATCAACTCTTTTCATTCTTCCTTATATATTGTCCAGGTTTCACATGAATTTAAGGCAAATGAAAATACGTGGTTTGACTTAAGTGCACCTTAGTCTTTAAAGTGACATCTTCAAAGTGCAGTACAGTTTCTGATTTCTTAACTGCTGCTTGTGTGGGTGCTGATTGTGGATCCAAGAAAAATGAAATCCCTGACAACTTCACTGTTTTCTACATTTATCATGATGTACTATCGGTCCAGTTGTGAGGATTTTTATTTTCTTTATATTGAAGTATTGTTGTTGTTGTTATGTGCCGTTGAGTCGGACCCGACTCATAGCGACCCCTCCTTGGGTTTCCAAGGCAGTATCACTATGGAAGTAGATTGCCCCATCTTCCTTCCGAGGAGTCACTGGTGGGTTTGAACCGACAGCCTTCTGGTTAGCAGTCAAGTGCCTTAGGCACTACGCTACCAGAGGTATAGCCCTTAACAAAGACTGTAGTCTTTGATCTTCATTGGTAAGTGCTTCAAGTCTTCACTTTCAGCAAGCAAGGTTGTAGTATCTGCATATCACACAGGTTGTTAATGAAACTTCCCCCAATCCTGATGCCACATTCTTCTTCATATAGTCTGGCTTCTGGGATTATTTGCCCAGAGTACAGACTGAAGAAGTATGGTGGAAGGATACAACCCTGATGCACACCCTTCCTGATTTTAAACTATGCAGTATTCCATTGTTCTGTTTGAATGATAGGTTCCTCATTGAGCACAATTAAGTGCTGTGGAATTCCCATTCTTTGTGATGTTATCCACAATTTATTAGGACCCACACAGTCAAATGCGTTGCAAAGTCAATAAAACACAGGTAAGCATCTTTCTGGTGTTCTTTGCTTTCAGCCAAAATCCATTTGACATCAGCAATTATATATCCTTTGTTCCACGTCCTCTTCCAAATCCAGCTTCAGTTTCTAGAAGTTCTCTGTCAATATACTGCTGCAACCATTTTGAATTATCTTCAACAAAATTTTAGATATATATAATATTAATGATATTATTTGATAATTTCCACATTCTGTTGGATCATCTTTCTTTGAAATGGGCACAAATATGTATCACTTCCAGTCAGCTGTCTTCCAAATTTATTGGCATAAATGAGTAAGCACCTCCAGCACTGCATCCATTTGTTGAAATATCTCAGTGGACATTCTGTCAATTCCAGGAGCCTTGATTTTTACCAGTTCCTTCAGTGCAGCTTCAACTTCTTCCTTCAACACCATTGGTTCTTGATCCTATGATACCCTCTGAAATAGATGAACAGCAATAAATTCTTTTTGGTACAATGACTATGTATTTTTCTATCTTCTTTTGATGCTTCCTGCATCATTCAATATTTTGCCCACAGAATTCTTCAATATTGCAACTCAAGGCTTGAACTTTTTCTTCAATTCTTTCAGCTTGAGAAAAGCCCAGCATGTTCTTTCCTTTTGGTTTTCTAACTCCAGGTCTTTTCACATTTCATTATAATTACTTATTTTTGTCTTCTTGAGTTGCCCTTTGAAATCTTCTGTTCAGCTCTTTCATTTCATCATTATTTCCATTTGCTTTAGCTACTCCCCATTCAAGAGCAAGTTTCAGAGTCTCTTCTGACATCTGCTTTGGTCATTTCTTTCTTTTCTGCCTAATGACCATTTGCTTTCTTCATGTATAATGTTCTTGATGTCATCCCACAAATCATCTGGTTTTTGGTCATTGACATTCAACAAATCAAATCTGTTCTTCAGCTGGTTCCCTAAATTCAGATGGGGTGTAATAAAGGTAATATTTTGGCTCCTTTGAACTTGTTTTCATTTTCTTCAGCTTCAGCTTGAACTTGCATATGAGCAGTTGATGGTCTATTCCACAGTCAGCTTCTGGCCTTGTTCTGACTGAAGATAATGAGCCTCTCCATTGCCTCTTTCCACAGATATAGTTGGTCTGTCTGATTCCTTGAATTCCATCTGTTGAGGTCTACATATATAGCTGCCATTTATGTTGTTGAAAAAAGGTATTTGTAGTGAAAAAAATTGGTCTTGCAAAATACTATCATGTGATTTCTGGTTCCATTTCCATCACCAAGGCCATATTTTCCAACGACTAATGACTCTTCTTTGTTTCCAACTTTCACATTCCAATCACCAGTAATAATCTACACATCTTGATTGCATGTTTGATCAATTTCAGACTGCAGTAATTGGTAGAAGTTTTCAACTTTTTCCTCTTTGGCTTCAGTGGTTGGTGCATAAATTTGAATAATAGTTGTTTTAACTGGTTTTCCTTGTAGGCATATGGATATTAACCTATAACTGAGAGCTATGTACTTCAGGACAGATCTGGAAACATTCTTTTTGACAATGAATGTGATACCATTTCTCTTCAATTTGTCATTCTTGACAAAATAGGTCATATGATTGGCTGATTCAAAGTGGCCAATACCAATCCATTTCAGCTCACTAATGCATAGGATATCAATCTTAATGTGTTCTATTTCATCTTTGACAATTTACAATTTTCCTGGATTCATACATTGTGCATTCCATGTTCTGATTATTAATGAGTGTTTGCTGTTGTTTCTTCCCATTTTGAGTTGGGACCCATCAGCAAACAGTGGTCCCAAAAGTTTTATTCTATCCACATCATTAAGGTCAGCTCTACGTTGAGAAGGTATCTCTTCCCCAGTCATACTTTGAGTGCCTTCCAACCTGAAGTGCTCATCTTCTGGCTTTGTATCAGAGGTGTTCATGAAGTTTTCCAGTAATATATCAGACAGTGTTTCACTGCTATTTGTAAGGTTTTCACTGGCCAGTTTTTCAGAACTCGATCGCTCTATCTTCCTTCCCAGTCTGTCTTGGTCTGGAAGCTCTACTGAAACCTGTCCATCATGCGTGACCCTGATAGTATGTGAAATGCTGTTGGCATCACCTCTAGCCTCACAGCAATGCACAAGCCACCACAGTACGAGAAACTGACAGACAAGTGGTGGAAATAAGCAAATAGGTTGGAATTAACTGTGAATTTTTAAAAAGGTCCCACTTGAAGATATCAAATGTTCTGTGAGTATAAGTCCACACACTTCTAGTAGCATATATTTTATGTGTGGCATATATTTTCACCTTTCCAAAGCTCTATAGGATCAGTTCCTGGCTGTTGTTTGTTTGGTAATGTTAACAAAAGAACTTTCTATGGTATAGATGTTATGGTGTTCAGGTTTTGAAGAGAAATGTTCATCAAACCATCATTTTTAATGCCTATTCAGATATGGAATTTGTCATACCCCATTAAGAAAAACAATTATATTTTAGTATATTAACTTCCATGAGGGTGTTGTAGTTAAAAGAATTGGCTCTGGCATCATATAATCTAGGCTTAAATCTGCTCCACCACTTACTAACTGTGTGATTCAGGGCAAGTAGCTTCAAGTCTCTGTCCTTCAGCTTCTTTGGTTGTAAAATGGTGTTAATTATTGACCTTTTAATAGATGACTGTGTGGGAATTAAATGATTAAGAAATAAAATAATTGAAAGAATACCTGGCAAATATTAAGTGTGCAGTAAATATATCATTATTATTTAAAAAGTTTTATTATTAAAATATTGGGATATAATTTTATGAATTTCAGTAACAAACAATAATTTTTAAAAAATGAAAAACAATAATAAAAAACATTCAGTAAGTTATGTGAATGTATATTTAGGTCTATACATAGACCTAAACTGAAAGACTTAAAGAAAAAGAGATAAATCGTACATTATGCAAAATCCTTAGATCCAGACGTCTTTGCATGAGATCTCTATCTCTATGTCTGCATGTGTGTGTGTATGTATACATTTCTCTTTCTCACTATATGTATGTCTATATCTACATCTATATACAGATATACATATCTATATATCTATATCTACATCTATCTGTATATAGATAGCTGTAGATATAGACATGTATCTTGGAATTCATCTGTCATCACTGTATTTTTGTTCATCCCATAGACTACATCAAATCCAGTCCCTAAAATGGAAGAAGCCAAAAGCCAATGTTTGGAAGAGGACTTTGAAGGACAAGCCACACATACAGGTAAGCAAAGCTAGAAGGGAAATAAAATTCAATATGGAATTTATCTCGAGTAATATTTTTGGATTGCTTGACAGAATTTCTTGAAAAATGTTTGATTTGATAAACTAATTTCAAACTGGACAACTCCTCAAACAATTTATTTTGATGTCAAAGAATAAGAAAAAGACTAATGATTGAGAATTTCTTGCTGCCTGACTATCACACGACATCTCTATCTATAATACTACATTAAGCCACCGTCCTCTTTCCTAATTCCTCCAGTACGGACTATCCTTGCCGTTGTGAATAGCAGATCAAAAGGCAAATAAATATTTTGAATCTTTAATTTTAACATTTTGTTGTTGTTGTTGTTGTTATGTGCCGTCGAGTCAGACCTGACTCATAGTGACCCCTCCTTGGGTTTCTGAGGCAGTATCACTACGGAAGTAGATTGCCCCATCTTTAACATTTTAGATCTGAAAAAAATAAACCAAAAACCAAACCAAACTCACTGCCATCGATTCATAGTGACCTCTCCTTGGGTTTCCAAGGTGGTATCACTATGGAAGTAGATTGCCCAACCTTCCTTTCCAGGAGTGCTGGTGGGTTTAAACCACCAGCCTTCTGGTTAGCAGTCAAATGCTTTAGGCACTATGAGGATAATGAAAAATTCCTAGAACAAACAGATTTTTAAGAGTTCTCCAGAAAACCCCAAACTTCAATTCATTTAATCTAGAATTTGTTTTCTTAATCTATTAAGAAATTGTGTGTGGCTATCTACATGCATGACTTTTCAAACAAAATAAAAATTCAGGTTTTTTTTAACTACACTGAACATCATTTGACTAAAAACTCTCTTTTTCTTTTAATAATATGAACAGGAGTCTTTCCATTTATCCAGCAGTTTAAATAAGTTCATACTAGCATAGACTAAACACATGGGAATTCATTATATAATAGCAGTGTGAACAATATCTTTCTAAGCATGACACAAAACGTGTCCACCATAAAACATAAGATTGATAAGTTCAGATACGGAAAGGAAAGAAGGAAGGAGTGAGAGAAAAAAGGAGACAGAGGAAAAGAAGGAAGGAGGAGGAAGGGAACAAAGGAGGTAGGCAACGTCTGCTGCCTGGCAAAAGTAACCAAGAGCAAATCCAAAAAACATTTATCAAGTGGGTAATAACATTTGCAACACCTATGACAGATAGGAGATCTGGGGGCATAGTGGATAAGGCATTATGGCTGCTAACCAGAAAGTCAGTGGTTCAAATCCACCAGCCACTCCATGGGAAAAAAATGAGGTGATCAGCTTCTGCAAAGATTTACAGCCTCGGAAACTCAATGGGGGTTATTATGAGCCACAATTGACTCAATGACAGTGAGTTTGGTTCTTTGCGTTTATGACAGATAAATACAGGCATAACTCATTTAATTATGTTTCACTTTACTGTGCTTGCAAATAATACATTTTTTTTTAATAAATTAAAATTGTGGCAAATCTTCATCAAGCATGTCTGCATGTCTGTCTATCACTGTCATTTTTCCAACAGCATGTGCTCACTTCACATCTCTGTGTCATGTTTTGGTAATTCTCACTATGTTTCAAACATTTTCATAATGTTGCACACTTGAGAGACTACAATATAGTATAAACATAACTTTTATATGTACTGGGAAACCAAAAATATCATGTGACTCATTTTATTGAGTGTTATTTGCTCATTGCAGTGGTCCAGAACTGAACCCCAAGATCTCTGATGTATGCCCATAGTTAAGTTCCTAATATATATTCAGATCTCCAAATCCACCAGCCACTCCTTGGAAGGAAAGTTGGGCAATCTACTTCCTCAGTGATACCGCCTCGGAAACTCAAGGAAGCGTCACTATGAGTCGGATCTGAATTGACAGCACATAACAACAACAACAAACAAATCATTTTAAAAAAACAAAACAAAACCCTAATGGAACAATGGCAAAAGAGGACAGACAAATCACAGAAAAATAGTATTTGCATATAAAAAAAATGGTACCCAAACTTAGAACTAGAATGAGACACAATTTTTAACACAGTTGGTAAACATAACAATGTTTAGGAAAGAGGCACCTTCTCCATTTCTGGTTGTTGTTGTTGTTGTTATGTGCCGTTGAGTTGGACCCAACTCATAGCGACCCCTCCTTGGGTTTCCGAGGTAGTATCACTATGGAAGTAGATTGCCCCATCTTCCTTCCGAGGAGTGGCTGGTGGGTTTGAACCACCAGCCTTCTGGTTAACAGTCAAGTGCTTTAGGCACTATGCTACCAGAGCTTCCCAGATTTCTGGTAGGAGTACAAATTTGTATTTCTTTCTTCTTTTTTTTTTTTTTTTTGGTAGAGGCAGTTTAGCAATAATGAAATTAGAAATGTATACCTTTTTTTTGACCAAACAATTTTACTTCAATAACCTACTGATATACCTTCAAGCACTGAGAAAACGATGTATCTGTAAGATTCATCACAAAGCATCATATATCATTTTTAAAATGTGCAAGAACAATGTACATCAATAAGAAACTGTTGAAGTAAATTGTGTATATGTACACAATGCTTCCATTAAAAGAAAAGTAACTTCTTTATGTATTTTTATGAAAAAGTCTTTGAAATATGCCATATTACAAAGTGAAAAGAGGAAGATGAGGAAAAGTATAATACAGTATATACAGCTGTTTGTAGGAAATAGAAAAAAAATTCTTTTCTACACACATAAACACATACATACATGCATTTTTTGTATATACATAAAATATATACGAAGAACACTACATAAGAAACCAAAAACATTGATTGCCTGAATATAATTTATATGAATAAAGATATTATAAAATAACCTTATTAGGAGCTCTGGTAGCGTAGTGCCTACGGCACTTGACTGCTACCAGAAGGCTTGCGGTTCAAACCCACTAGCCACTCTTCGGAAGGAAGGTTGGGCAATCTATTTCTGTAGTGATACCACCTCGGAAACCCAAGGAGGGGCCGTTATGAGTTGGGTCCAACTCAATGGCACACAAAAACAACAACAACAACAACAAGGAATATGGAAGAGAAAGAAACTGAATCAACCTATAAAACACAATATTAAAGTTAAGCATGTGGCTAAGATTTAGTGACAAATACTGCATATTTTTGAGATTTTGAGACCCTCTTTCCAAGCACTATTTCATTTATCAGGGCAACCAAATATCAGTATTCCAGTTATATCATCCTTGATTTAATTAATTTTTCTTAAATCTAAAAATCCCGTCCTTTCTACATTCTTGAAAGATTTTTAGAACCTTAAAAAGAGCTGGGTGTTTTTTAAATGATTTTCTTGAGGTCATTTTAGTTTTGTTATTTAGGTCAGAGCTCCCTCTCAGTGGTTGTCTTTTATGTGTTATTATTGTTGTTTTCTGGATCTTGATAATATTGTAATTTGTTTCCCTAACAATCCTACTTTTCTTTATTAATAGTGTGGTGTCAATTTTAGTTTATTGCTAAAGCTTCTTTCCTATTTAATATACGTGCTATTTTTCTACAATTCTAATTTCCTCCCTACACTTTAATTTTTTAATATATTTACTCCAAAATTTGACAATAATTCAAAGTGCATAATTTAGATTTTCATTAGTGCTGATGTTTCAAAATGATGCTTTGCCAGGTCCGTTTAACAAGATTAATGTGGGAGAGCATTTTTATGAGCAGGGCAGTCAGAAATTTCTTGCCCAAACAAGAGGTTTGTTTCTGATGCAGGAGATGACAAGTCTATTCCCATGGTGGTAGTTATATACAAATTTTAGTTGTGAAAATAGTCTCTTTGAAAATAAAAAGGGAAATAACTTATTTTTAATTTTATTCTAGGACCCAAGGGAGTAATAAATGATTGGAGAAAGTTTAAATTAGAAAGTGAAGATAGTGATTCAATCCCACCTAGCAAGAAGGAGATTCTCAGGCAAATGTCTTCTCCTCAGAGTGGAGATGACAAAGAATCAAAAGAAAGATTCAGCAGAAAGGTAAGATAAGGAAAAATCAATGCAGCTTCTCTTCACTTATCAACATGGTTAGGCTCCAAAGACCAGGTCATTATGTGAAATTGGCTTTATGAGAAAATGGAGGATGACCACATTAGATCACAAAATGGAGGATGACTACATCATTACATGACTGCCAGATTACATCAGTACATAACTAGCAAACCACTGAGAATCATGGTCCAGCCAACTTGACAAATAACCTTAACCTTCAAAGCCACCATCATTCTCATATCATACCTTGACAGTTGTTACCACCAGATGTATGCTGTTAATGCACAAAATAGTCAGATAGTAGTTTTTCTATTAGTGTTGTAAGTGTGAGATGTCAGACAATGAGATAGAAGATAAGTGAAGATAAGGTGAAATAAATATTTAATTAGCAATGTGTTTTTCAGTCTACATGACTGTAAAGAATCCCTTTAGAATTATTACAAAATACAGATATATTACAAAAATATCTATTGAAGCATTATTTGTACGACAAAAGGAAAACGAAAATGAAGTGAATGTCTATTAAGGCAGTCCATACTAACAAATACTTCGCAACTATTAAAAGAATGATTTACAGCTACATGAGCTGACTTAGAGGCAGTTCTACAAGGTACAATTATGTGAGAAAGCAAGGTACAGGAAAATTTAAATAAAGTATATGATTCCATTTTTAAAGCAATAAAGAACAAATTTGTATATGTATGTTTATGCTTGTTTGATTATATGAGCATGTATTTTCATATATATGCTCATACAAAAGTCATTCACTGAGCTGACGCTCTCGGTTACTTGGAAAGATGAGATTGGTTGGAAGAAAAATAGGAGAATGAAGGAGGTACATGGAATAAGCCAATTTTTTTTTTTTTTATTTCACAATAAAACAAAAAGCTGTATTTTTACACCACTTATTTACCTAACTTACACAATGTATAGGCATCCCTAGGTGGCTAAAAGAGTTAAGTCCTCAACTACCATTAGCCAAAAGGCTGGCAATTCAAACCTACCCAGAATCACCTCAGAAGACGGGCCTGGCAATATGCTTCCTAAAGATCACAGGCTTGAAAATCTTATGGAGCAGTTGTACTTTGCACACACGGGATCACCAAGAGTTGGAATCAACTCAAAGGCAACTAAGAACAAAAATATATAATGTGTATGTTGATACAAAAGAAGATATATTAAAAGACAGTCTATAAAATGTTAATGAAGATTATCTCAGAGTATTAAACTTGTTGCTGTTGAGTCGATCCAACTTATGGTGATGCCTTGCCTTACAGAGTAGAACTGCTTCATAGGATTTTCAAGGCTGTAACCTTCCAGAAGTAACTTACCAGGCTTTTCTTTATTGGCATCACTGGTTGTGGTCGTCTGTGTGTGTGTATGTGTGTGGGGGGGGGCTTAAAAAAGCAATTTATTATCTCTCACGTGTTTTTTTTTTTAATTTTATTGTGTCTTGGGTGGAAATTTACAGAGCAAAATTTGTTTTACATTCAACAGTTCAAGTATACTTGATTTCATACCCTGTCTACCATCCCTGACCATAACAAACTTCCCTCCTCTCCCGTCCCTGTGGCTACCCCCTCCCCAGGCCCTTCTTAACTATGCATTCCTGTCTGTTCAGCTTTCCCTCTACGGGCCCCTCTGGTGCCCCATAGCTGATTGCTCTAAGGGACTTCTCTCCCTAGAGTCAGTGGGTGCATCACCTTAGGACAGATGTTCTGCATGTAGGTCTTTCAACTGTTGGGCTAAGAACCAATCCATGGGAGTGAGTCCAATTCTAGGCCCAAAGGGTAACCCAGGCCCATAGTCTTGGGGGTTCCACCAGACTCTATCTGATGAGTGATTATGGTCATTTTTGTGTTTTTGGATTTTGTTCTGCATTTTACCTCACACTCTATCCAGGATCTCCACTTTTGACCCCTTTCTAGTGGTTGGCATTGGTAGCCAGGCACTATCTAGTTCTTCTGGTCTTGGAGTCCATCATATCCTTGCACTAATTGTTTCCATATGCCTTTGATTATCTTTGCTCTTCTTTGCTTCAGATGAGAGGAGACCAATAGTTGCATCTTAAATGGCCACTCAAAAGCTTTTAAGACCCTAGTCACTACTCACTAAAGTAGGTTGTAGAACAAGATTTTTATATTGTGCCAATTGAGCTTGTTGTTGTTGTTGTTGTTATGTGCCGTCGAGTCGGCCCCAACTCATAGCGACCCCTCCTTGGGTTTCTGAGGCAGTATCACTACGGAAGTAGGATTGCCCAACCTTCCTTCC